ATGACTTCCTAATTTAACCTATCAAAATAATCATAAGCTATGCCTACAGATTTTAGGTTGCGTAACTGAAGATCGTTCTTAGTAATACGGAGGCTAAAATTCTATCACTTCCTACAAAACTATCAGCTTCTTGTTATTTCATATATTTTATCAATGATTTTTTTCGTATTTTTTCCAGTTACGCTTTCCTTATTAAGTTTACCACCACCATTTATGTAGTCATATATAATATCTTGGTCTTTTATTTCTTATCATTATAAAGTATGGTAATATTTGTCGAATTATGATTTGTTCTAGATTCTAAATCGTTGACAATTAATTGATTGACTTCAGGAATATTTAGGAAAAATTCCTGGGATTAGTTAGATTTGAAGTGATAACCTTTGGATACTATTTAAATTTTTGAATCAGAACTAAATTAGACCAAATTGTTACAGTGAGGGTGTTTATGGTGAAATTCGTTCTTAAAACTTCGTACTAGTGTCTTAGATATTTTTATTTCAGCATAGAAGTGATTAGATTTAGACCGGAAGAGAGAGAAACAATTGATTTCATAGGGTATTTGTCAATTAAGGCATTTATTGATCTGAAGGTAATAACCGAAACGGAAAGTAACACAATAAACAAATCGATCTCCCACTTAGAAGTATTTTACAAAGTGTATATGATAAGAAGACAATAATAACAATGCTAACAATCAAGTCAGCATTTATCATCATAATTTTAAGACAGCTAGTATTTTTAAGGTCATATTATGGGGAAAACTAGTAGAATATTCACTTATTTACGTTTAATTTATTTAAAAAATCCATGCCATTTCAAGGGATTTTCAATAAAGAGTTAACCTCTTTTTTCTTCTTTTCATTATTATACAGTATGTATACAGGTGGCCTGAAGTAGTTGACCTTATTTAAAATATACAGTATATAACGCTTGTAAATTAAGGCAATATCTAGGCAATATGCACAGTATGCACATATACCAATAAGATCAATTGCTGTCCTAAACATCAATGTGAAGATTCAAATAAAACAATACCAAGTGAACATACAGTATATGTCGGAGAACATATATAATCAAGTGTTCTGATTATATTTATTTAATAAAATGTGTTTAACAAATGTGCTTTGTATTATTTATTTGTACTCCAGTATTATAATTAACGAAGATAAAGTGAAAAGCTTATTTAGCAATTAAATACATAATTACTGTTTGATTGAAGGGGCGGATGCGAACTACTGAATACAGCATAAGTCTTAATTTCTTGCACACTTTTTTCCACATGCTAACTGCTCTTCTGAGACAGTTGTCACTAGTGATTTACTTAGCTTGAAGTTAAAATTGTGACTTTTATTCATGGAAATTCGGAGAGCAGTAAATAAATGTTAAAAGAAATTCTATGTAGTTTAGGATAGAAATAAAACCTAATGTATGTCACTCATACAACTTTATATTTCAACCTAAAGGGAAAAGTTTTACAATTAGGTTTTCATATACTCAAGAAACTAAGAATGTGTTATTTACACATATAGGCATACCAAGATGTCTACTATAAACTGCGTTATCTTCAATGTAGTATATATAACTCCTTATGGTCAGACATAACATTCAATGGTAAAATGTTAAAATATAAGTCAACGAACAAAGATTCATCTCAAAAAATGTAAACGAAATACCATAATGATGTAGTAGCCGATCATTTGAATACGAGTTTCTTATTTTTTTTAATAGAAATAAAGTTATAGTAAAAAAGGGACAGCATTAATTAAAGGAAGTTCTATACTACAAACAAAACCGACTAATTTTTAGTTTTAGGCAATTCTCTAATCTATACTAAATTGTGTTGAAATTTATCTTTAAATCTATACAATATTTAATTGTACTTCTCATTTGTTTTAAATCAAATAAAACTCCGATGTATTAAAGAAAATATTTTAAGTGTTTTTAATGATTTTTAAATTATATTTTGAATTACAGCTGACAGTAGGGTTCAAAATATGTGTTTTATCTATCATTGAAACTTATAAACTGTATGTTCCTACATATATATTGATATTAGCATGGGGACTAAAACCCAAGGGATATTTCTTCAGACACCATTATTAAAGGAACGTACATATACCCCAACAGAAACCGGTCACTTTCAGTCCTGAATGTCAGTGAACACCGACTATCTTTCACCTTGTCCTAAAGGCAAAACTAAAGTGTGAGGGATAGAGGGAGAGAGAGAGTAAAGACTTACCATTTTTACAGATATAATGGAATTGCTTGTTGCATTCATATAGTGTAAGTGATCTTTTTTATGTTGTGTTATGGGATTATGATCATTAAAAATGATATGATATGTGATACGAGGTTACTGAAAACTATCAACAGGAAATTCTGATCCTGCACTTTTTCTTTACTTATGCTAACTAATGAATTGTACAGATTAGATTGATAAACTTGGTACTACCATCCAAAAACTTTTAATACTGACTAGTTACTTTATTAATGAAGTCATAAAGCTTATATTAGCACTATGTTTATCTTGGCTGATGAATTTAGTTTATGTTTGAACATTAACCGATTTTATGCAGCTTGGATTTTGAGTATTAGCTAAGCTGCACTGATCAACTTCAATCATGTCAATGTATTAGCCTAATATTTCCGTTGAGCACTTTGTCTTTATGTTTGTCGGTCACAAGCATTTTCTGAGGGTATGACATTATCTATGCTAGATGGTTTAGTTACGAAACCTCAACTGACCTTCTCAATGAGATCAGGACAATTTTACTTAAAGCTAGTGTTCTAAGATTTAAATTTTCTTCACTATTTAATCTCTTTAACATAAAAAAGTTTTGAGTCCGAAATTTTGTCACTATATACAAATAATGATTTGAATAGATGCGTACAATCATAACACAAATTTTGATTAAACTTAGGAATTTCTTGTGCCGATTACTTCTCTTATCATCAGATAATCTATTCTGGAAAAAATTTAAGAAGCATTGTATAGTTTCACATGTAACTTAACTAACAAGATAAAGAAAAACAGTCACTTCTACTTGTTTAATCAGATAACTATCTTAACTTGAAGTGCCAAGTAAGTATGAAAGAAGTACTTGTACAAAAATATTGCTGAAATTCACAAGCTTCGTTGGTATGTCACCTCCTCAGATAACGGTCTCGATAAATTGCACTGTCAATACCAATTAAATCCCGATGATTATTTCATTCCTCATTAAGCTCGTTAGCTGAATATGTCTAGTATTTTATGTTTCAATTGTGATGGAAATCTTTTACAAATGATGTATACAGGTATCTACCTATGGCCTATATCCCGATAGGAATCGATTCAGTAAAATCAAGAATGGTCAAAATAGTAAACCCTAACAAATAATCATAAATATTAAACCCGTTAAAAGTTTAATGGGTACCACAACTCAATGGTTGATTTGACAGAGCGTTGGTTTTTGTAGCATAAATGTCAACATCGGAATGTAGGCAGACTTATTTAACAAGTTTCAGTTAATAAGTATACATACCCGACCCAAATGCTGTCCATTACTAAAAAGTACAAATACCTTTTTCACGTTTGCAAAAAGTGTTCCATTTTGCACGTTGTTTTAAATTAAAATTCTGTTTAACTTAAATGTTTTACTGTAACAAACTCAAGAAGATAAAATAAATCACTACACTCAATCTCATGTTATATTTTTCTCAAAGTGAAGCATTTAAGATTCAGAAATCATAATTTCAAAATAAATTCGCTTTTTCAAGTTCTTTCTTTGTATTTACCAAGTAGATGTATTTTAGTTTCTGTTTATAAGGCATGTATATATAATCAAGTTAATGTATATCGAAACATGAAATTTTGGCTATTCTTTAGTTCAGCTATTCACTAAGTGATACAAATTAATGTTTTCATTAAAGACCAAAATTCAGAAGTTAAATTCCATCACATTCGTGCTTTTTTCAGTTTTTGTGGTGTGTTACACTGAACTTATTTTTGTGAGACATCTACTGGTAACTATCAAAGTTTTGGTGCAAATCATGCTCTAATATCTAGAAATTGCTAGTTAAATAGGCAAAAAATTGTTCGAAATATCTGAGTCCAACAGACTTGAACAGTGGAAGCAGATCAGATAATCTCAGAATAAGTGAACTGACATTTTGAGTTTAGCGGTTATTACTAGTGGAATTCGGAATGTATGTATTATAACATCTGAAATTCATTATTTTAATATACCTAAATTCTGGCATAACTCGTTACAGATATAATTTAGTTAGTTACTATTAATGAATTCATGTGCCATTCTAAAACATTAAGTTGTTATATTAACTATGTGTATGGATCAGAAAGTTTGGCGTTGTTTTTCGTCAAATACAGGTTATATATGTATTTAAAAGTTTAGTAGACCATCTAAAAGCTGTGAGCCAATCAAATCCCAATATAACGTGTTTATTTCAAACATTATTCCATTAAACCAGCCTGTTCCAATTTGGGCTTCTAGGACTACAAATAACACAAAGCAGTTTGAGATACAACATCTACCATACTGTTTACTTACAACGTTCAGTAGACATTCTACTCACTTTTAGAAAAGTTTGGTATAATGATGTAGCTCACTTGTTTAAACTTGACCTTTTGACTTAACATTACAAATCAAGTATTGGATAACGATCGATAACCGTCACATAGGAAGCATAATTTGCAGCCCACTATATAAGTCATAACCAAATCACTGATTATCCCATAATTAACTTTAATTTCGATTCTATTATGAATAGAATCTAAACAGCCAACTCCTATAAAAATTACAACTAATCCAGCGGACGACATGAACAAAAATTGGATAGAACTAGAAAGGAAGTCCCAGGACAGAGTAGGTTGGAGAATTCTGATTGTCAGCTTATACTCCATTGGGGGTAACAGGCGTAGGTAAGTAGTTAATTAAGGGATTTAGTGAATAATATCTTCTCAGAATATATGGAAGCGTTATAAAATAATAACTCACGATTACAGCCCAAATCATGACAAGTAAGAAATACGGGTTTTGAAGGCATAATTCTGCCCTGAAAAAATAAATCACCATAAACAATGGAAAATAAAACCTTCCATATCATTCATGGTATTCATTACAACAATAATTATGATTTCAAAATTAATTGTCTTCACTAGCGTGACTTTAAGCAAATACGTACATCAAAAAGATATAGTATTCGAGTAAATTTTTTTAATACATTTTATGGTACCCGCTATTCGTAATATTGTCAATTAAATTTTGTGGAAAGCATTGTATTTTTCGTCTTGGATGAAGTCAATCACTTTGTGAAGTTCAACATTAAGTTTATTTGACCACTATTATTCAAAGATGAGGTTCACTCTCCATCCTATGTCTTACTTATTTTTTAGCTCCCATTTTAATGTTTTGAACTCATAAGAAAGATTTATTAATCCTGACTGTGGAGAAGTGGTTCCTCAGTACATAAAGTGTCATCAAATATATTTTTATACAAGGTCTGCTCATCATATAACATGTTAATTTACCTCTGTAAACGCTTGTGAAGTTTTATCATTCCTATCTCATCATGGTCCACTAGAGCTCTTGGTACCTGTGTGGTTGCTACACAGGATTAAGCTGTTCCGTTTGGATTACAGATCTGATTAAAAAGTATGGTTCTTCTGAAATCAACGCAAAATTATTCCTTTACATAGGATATATTTACAAAAAATCAACCTCATTTATTGTTGGAAATCATTACGTGATAATAATGAAGTCCTTAAACATAAACATTAAGTTTCTCGTGCTTATAAACGCTCAGTGATACTATTTTACGTGTCCAAACGCAAAACAAATATGAATTTTGCTTCACACTACCACGGTCTTTGAAGTAAGGTGTCTGTTTAGTTATAAGTACTAAAAAGATGTCTATATAACCAAAACTTTGAATTGACGGAAAATCTGTCTAAGGTTACGAAGACGTTCAGGCAAAAATTGTCAGTGTCTGGACTGCAAAAATCAATCAAACAACTAAACTATTGAGAACATTAGAAAATCGTTTTTGACAAAACATTTGTCTTACCTGTACAAACACATTTAACTGACACACTTCTGTGTCAATCACGTGATGCTAAGGGTAAGAAAAAGTGATACGATATTGATAAATATACTGTTTCATTCGCCATTCCTATTCCGGCCATAATAAGAAATTTAGTTTACGTCTCCACAAAACAGCAACAAATAAAACGTTCAAAAAGTGTGCGGAAATAAAGTTCATTTTTGCGAAACTACTAAACAAAAGATACACAAACCACTAATAAAAACTTTACTCAGAAGACAGTTTTAAGACTAAATACAAATTGCATTTATGCCTTGTGACTTGAAATTGTCAGTTCAGCAATTCGTTACACCTTAAAAGTGACTGTGAGTTTCCACATCCAATACTGAATTTCTCTTGTCTCATTACGCACCGGCTTCGGAAGCATGAATTCCATGTTGAACATAAACACTGTGGTGTAGCTTCATTAGACTGAATACTTTTAAATACTTTAAGCGAACACCAGAAATGTCGCATACGGACCTTTTGCATATTAACCAAGTTACTTCTCAGAGAACTTTTGTAAAATTGCGGCAGTAGTTTTGTCATCTTGGAGTTCCAGATGTTTTCTTAACGGATAATGGTTTGGAGTTTGCAGCCTCCGTTTCTCCAGAGTCTTGCGGCTGATTTGAAGCTGAACATGTCCTTTCAACCTAATACCATCAACAACGGTCAGATCTAGAGTTTTGTGAACATCGTTGATAGAGCACTACTCAAGGAAAATCGAAAGGGAAAGATGAAAGAAGTTTCTGATTGCATTTTAGCGGTCTACATGATAACTCCAAATCCATAAACTCTAACCTAATGCTTACTTACTTACTTACGCCTGTTACCCCTTGTGGAGGAGCATAGGCCGCTCATCAGCATTCTCCATCCAACTCTGTCCTGAGCCTTCCTTTCCAGTTCTTTCCAGTTGCTATTCAACCTTTTCATATCTGCTTCTATTTCCCTGCGTAGTGTGTTCTTTGGCCTTCCTCTTTTCCGCTTCCCTTCCGGATTCCAAGTTAGGGATTGAGTCGTGATGCACATTGGTGATTTCCTCAATGTATGTCCGATCCACTTCCAACGTCTTTTCCTAATTTTTGGTAGAAAATTAAACATACGTTCGATGTTCTTAGATCAGAGCAAAATGGCGCAGAAAGGACACACCAAAAGACAGAGACTCAACTCAATCTCGATCAAGAAATCGGAGAATATTTCAAGACAACCAAGAAGTATACGTTTGCGATTTATGATACTCTTATGCTCAACAAATGAGGGAAAGTGTCATATCTGAGGTAATTCGAAGGTCAAAAAGGGTAAGTTGTGTCAACCACGTACTGGAATATTGCAGAACGTTACAGAAAAATGAAAAAATTGGCCCATTGTGGAAAATTTTTAGGCAGGTTCGACCTTGAATGTTCAGCGCCTTAAAAAACCTGTCGAATTCCCGTGAGATTATTCCAGAAATACGGAAGGCCATCCTTTCTCCAAACTGACCCTAAAAAAGGAGCGTACAACTTTTACGGAAGAAGATATCCATGATGTAGAAATTATTTGTTTTAACTAGTGGCTGGTCGTTTTTTTCTTTATTTTTTCATTTCAATTAAACTGGTTGGTCACTTTTTGCAAGGATCGCAACGCCAATAAGTTTCATTCATATATGTACTCAGACGAAAGGCAGTTATAACGTTTTTCGTCAACAGAGGAAATCATGCGAACAGAGAAATAAAGAAGCCATGACAAACAACGTATTTCATTTAATCCGATATCTGTGAAACAACAACATTCACTTTGTCTCCGGTGATTCTATAAATCGTAAGTTTCCGTTTGATCCGTCATTAACTGGCATAACCTTATCTTTTCCGAAGCTACTGTAATTTAAACATAACCTAACGTAGTTCATTTTTCTACTCTCATGGTTACTTTTGACATAAGTGCATATTTTTCCAAATGTTTGTGCGTTATGGTCATATCAGTCATCTACTTATCTATTTGTCATTTCACATTAAGCAGAATCAGGAATAAGCCAAGTAGTGTTCAAGTTGATTTGTCTTTTTTACCTTTCACTTGTCAACTAATCAGGAATAGTTTTCGCCTCTTTGACCATTAGACTCAATCCAGATTCATGCATTTCTAGCCCCAAGGTCTATCGTGCCAACACCATGACATAAATCGAGACAAATTCGCCATGCATATTAGTGGGCAGACAGACCAAGGGGTTACATAACTTGAGATTAAAATTGTCGACTTATTACTTATGCATAACAGTAATTAATTAGACAATACTCATTTATTACTCTTTGTAGAGCCGTAAGGAAAACGAAATGTAGCTAAACCCTATTTAAATCACTCTTTAGACTGGAAAGAATCTGCATTAAATTGAATGCCAGTGAACGTTGGGCAATTTAACAGACATCTCGGCCGAGTGTAATGAATACGGATAGGGAACCCCTACATCATGGACTGGCCTACGCGGCAACATCATTACTCTGTACTTCTTTAATCTGTTCTCTGCAACAAAATATGCCCTTCTCGCAAGATTCTACTTCCAACCAGTCACCTAAAAAGCTGCTTTACATGGTCATGGTGAATAAGTAGGCCATAATATATAATAATCATGAGGTGTGACTCTGAAGATAGCCGAGGGGGTCATACTGCGTCCAACCTGGGTGGATTAACCACCAACAGTGGTGATCTACTGAGCAATCAAAGTTCTCAAGAATGCATTTTGTATGAAATTTAGTCCAAAAGTCGACTCCCTTCTATACAGTCTTGCCGATATGACTGAGACGTGTAATAGCTATGAAAGGCAACAAAACACAGTCGTTTGGAGTTATTTAGCGTTACATATAGCACGAAAAATACACTAACGTAGGACGTAAACTACTTCCCAGGAAGTGAAATGATATTGAATCTGAAGACCGAATTCAATAAACTAAACGTGCATCTATATACTATGCGACTGATGGTGGGATATTGAACGGCCGATACTAAATGTTCAAGGTCTATGGTAGTAAACTGTGATCGACTAAATAAAAACTCAGATCAATCTCTTGTGGCAGCTGACTTTATCTGAAGAAACAATTTACTCGATGAAATTATGTCACTTCTTAAAATTTTTATGGATGGGTATTACCTGCCACAAGGTACCGACTGGATGTACTACGAAGCCATCAAATGGTATGACCTTAACATAAAGTTACGTGAGCCAAGCAGTCAAATCATTCAGGTCAACCAAATTAAATTAAGAAAATCAAATGGTTCATATAGATAAGCATTACAATAAAGACCGAGATCTGCACTAAATAGCTAACAAAGTGTTCCAAACGATATTTGCAGTAAAAGCTATCTTGTAATGACCACATTTCAAAAGACAAAAGTACTTATATTCGAAAAGGAAAGGTATTCTTGACAGGTATTATGCCTACATGCAATCAAAAACTCCGTCAGTACTGAGTGCTTTCAAACAACGTCTCTTCGACACAGACCATGATGTTAAGTAAAACAAAAAAATCATACATCGGCAGAAGAAAAAAGTCAGAAATGGAATTATAAATCAGTTGATGACCTCGTTTGAACAAAAATAAGCACGATGCACATGACCATAAAGATCAAGTACAATAAAGCCTAACCTCGAATATAACTAAAGATCGTTCCCATTAAAAAAGAGGTAAACGAGGAAAATTTTCTCATACACAAGTTATATTACCCCTTAATCATGGTAGATCCAACCGGGACTCTATAACTCCTTAGAAGGTTTATCCTGGTAAATGTTACACAATCTAATAAATTACAAGTCTGTTCCATTCCAGTCGAATGGCCATGTTTTTACACAGTCTCAAAAGTAAGTGAATTCTACCCAGATCAAATTATAATTGGTCAAGAGCAATGAGAAAATGATCACATACAGCGTATCAACCGCATAAGTTCACCATTAAATCCAAAAATTATCCTTAAAGAACAAGGTGTGATAGATTATCTTTTTGCTGATTGTTTAACTATTAGCCTGATTGTTAAGAATGTTTTCAGACCGACATTATGACTTAGCTACGCATGGCTTTTACTTTAATAGACCACCTAGTCAGGTGTCAAAGTGAGAGACGAGTTGAAGGTACAATTCTATGGTAGCCAGTAACCCTGCAAATGACTGTCTTCTATATAATGCTTGAAGTTTCACTTATCACTAGTCCTTGCAATTGTATTACGTAACCCTCGATGGTGTATAAATTTCAAAAGCGCTGACCACAGTTTCTTATAATACAAATCATTAGGTCACACAAAGCTAGCTCGAGAGCTGTGAATGCGAATGAATGGGGTCGATTGAATACAGCGGTGAATGAATTGACAGGATTTATTAAGTAAAAATTCATAGGATGGTCAATGAATCATCGAGAGGTCTTACCAACCAAAATTTAAGCTAGTAAGTCATTATGTGCGTAGGCAGTTACGTGTAATCAAACATACATGTTCACACAGACATGACAGTAATAATACAAATATATAAGTAAATTGTTACTGCTCGAATGAAACCGTCCGTCAAATAAGTTAACTGAAGGGCTTGACAAAACTAAACATAAACACACTTAACTGTATTTCAAGTGCTATAACTTCAATAGTTAAGTATAGATTATGAACCCGGTACTCGTTGTGTCATCAAAACAGTGTCTTTATAAGATTTATGTCCATGGCTGCCACTGACTAAATTACTTGTGCTAAAGATTAACAGACCTAGCATAATATGATTGGCTCCCTATGATATGGCTGTCCAGTCGATGTGATCTTACGTCAGGGTCACATCGTTGCCTATGCTGTCCCATGCAACTGTGTCAGCCAATAATGTTGGATTTTAAAGACCTCTGAAGAACAAACGTATCGACAGAATAATATATTTTAAAAAAGGACAAACAGTTACGGTGACTATGCTTGCACGGATCAGTCATGAGGTCTTGATAATCTCCTCGTGTTGACCCTTTTAGACCTCCACTATTATTTACATGCCACTTGATTTCCGAAGCACATCCTCTGGGTTGGTTTATTTCCATCGTCGTATGCCCATCTCACTATTTTCACTTTGTGAAGGAATCCGTGTTTCATGGATAGATCGAGGAAATCTGTGACAGCTTAGGTGGACTACTTAAGAGTTGCCCTCAAAAAACTAAATATGTGACAAAACAATGGACTGAAATATTCATTCATTTCCTTATTTCCTATAGGCATTATTT